AGATTATACACCCTAGCCTCCCAAGTTTTGGATTTTTAAAGAAGTTTGAAGGAATCTAGATCTGTCCCTCCTCCAAAAAAATACACCCCAGATTGAGAACAATCTCTGAAATTTATAGTCAATGAAAATACACAAAAACTTTCAATAGCTCAGGAAAAAATAAAGTATAGAAAGTGCTTAAGACTTCCAAATCAACTTCTTAAAATTGTTTTAGTTGTTGATGAACATTTATTTTATTCATTTACTTATATGTGGTGCTAAGAATTGAATCCAGTGCCTCACACATGCAAGGCAAGTGCTCTACAACTGAGCGATAGCACCAGCCCTCAATCTTTATCCAAGTAAGAATACAGTTACAACAAACTGAAAGAAAAAAGGATGAAAATGGCTTATAAATTTTTTAAAATATTTTTTTTTAGTTGTAGTTGGACACAATATCTTTATTTATTTATTTTTATGTGGTGCTGAGGATCAAACTCAGCACCTCACACATGCTGTGCTCTACCACTGAGTCCCAGCTCCGGCTTATATTTTTTACTATTTTATCAGTATGATCTTTAAAATACAAAGCAAATTTAAATACTTATTTTATGCATTCATATATGCAGAGTTGAATACTGCCATTCCACTGCTTTTTCTTTGATACTCTGATATTTCTTTACCAGTGATCCATACCCCTACATTATTTCTGATTCATGTCTTACATCACATGTAAATTAATAATCTATTAAAAACTGTGAGGTAGGGGCTAAGGATACAGCTCAGTGGTAGAGCGTTTGCCTAGAATGTGCAAGGCCCTGGATTCCATCCCCACAAAACAAAACAAAATGAAAACTGTGAGGTGGTACCGTACATAGTAATGATATGATTAAATCTAACTTATGCAATAATAAATGTAAATAATGTTAATATTAGAAATGGAATCATAGGGCTGGGGATGTGGCTCAAGCGGTAGCACGCTCGCCTCGCATGCGTGCAGCCCGGGTTCGATCCTCAGCACCACATACCAACAAAGATGTTGTGTCCGCCGAGAACTAAAAAATAAATATTAAAAATTCTCTCTCTCTATCTCTCTCTCTCCTCTCTCACTCTCTAAAAAAAAAAAAAAAAAAAAGAAATGGAATCATCAGGCAGAGGTAGATGATAATAGATCACAAGTAGTGATATTATTAAAGTTTTTCTTTAGTATCTTTTGGAATAAGATAATCTTTGGTCTCATATTTGAGAAAAGTAGTCTCATCAAAATATAAAATAATTGGCCAGGCATGGTCACATATGCCTATAACCCCAGCTACCTGGGAGGTTGACCTAGGGGGATCATAAGTTCCAGACCAGCCTCACCAATTTAGCGAGACACTGTATAATTTTAGGGCTGGGATTGTGGTTCAGCGATAGAGCACTCGCCTAGCACAGGCGGGACCCCAGGTTCAATCCTAAGCACCACAAAAAATAAAGGCATTATGTTGTGTCCATCTACACCTAAAACAATATTTAAGAAAATATATATAATTTTAAAAAGGGGTAGCTCAAGGCAAACTAGGGATAACAGGAACATATCTCAACATTGTAAAAGCTATCTATGCTAAGCCCTAGGCTAACATCATTCTAAACGGAGAAAAATTGAAAGCATTCCCTCTAAAAGGGATGCCCTCTTTCACTACTATTATTTAATAGAGTTCTTGAAACTCTAGCCTGAGCAGATAAACAGACAAAAGAAATTAAAGGGATACGAATAGGAAAAGAAGAACTCAAATTATCACTGTTTGCCTAAGATATGATTCTATACCTAGAAGATCCAAAAAATTCTACCAGAAAACTTCTAGAACTAATAAATGAATTTGGCAAAGTAGCAGGATCAACACCCATAAATCAAAGGCATTTCTGTACATCAGTGACAAATCCTCTCAAAGAGAAACTAGGAAAACCACCCCATTTACAATAGCCTCAAAAAACAAAATAAAATACTTGGGAATCAACAAAAGAAGTGAAAGACCTCTACGATGAAAATTACAGAACGCTAAAGAAAGAAATTAAAGAAGACCTTAGAAGATGGAAAGATCTCCCTGTTCTTGGATAGGCAGAATATTGTTCAAATGATCATACTACTAAAAGCACTATACAGATTTAATGCAATTCTAATCAAAATCCCAATGACATTCCTCATAGAAATAGAAAAGGCAGTCATGAAATTCATCTGGAAAAATAACAGACCCAGAATAGCTAAGGCAATCCTTAGCAAGAAAAGTGAAGCAAGTGGCATCACTATACCAGACCTTAAACTATACTACAAAGCTATAGTAACAAAACCAGCATGGTACTGGCACCAAAATAGACAAGTAGATCATTGGTATAGAATAGAGAACACAGAGACAAACCCACATAAATACAGTTATTTATATTAGACAAAGGCCCCAAAAACATATATTGGAGAAAGGATAGCCTCTTCAACAAATGGTGCTGGGAAACCTGGAAATCCACATGCAACAAAATGAAAGTAAGCCCCTATGAATCATGGACAAAACTCAACCCAAAGTGGATCAAGGATCTAGGAATTTTTTTTTTTTTTTTGACCCTGCACCTAATAGAAGAAAAAGTAGGCCCAAATCTTCACCATATCGGATTAGACCCTGACTTCTTTAATAAGACTCTTATAGGGCAAGAAATAAAATAAAGAATCAATAAATGGGGGCTGGGCTGTGGCTTAGAGGTAGAGTGCTTGCCCAGCATGCATGAGGCACTGGGTTCGATTCTCAGCACCACATGTAAATACATAAAATAAAGGTCCATCAACAACTGAAAAAAATATAAATATATAATAAAACAATCAATAAATGGGATGGACTCAAACAAAAGTTTCTTCTCAGTAAAAGAAACAATCTGTGAAGTGAATAGAGAACCTACATCTTGGAAGCAAATTTTTACCACAGGCACATCAAATAGAGCACTAATCTCGAGGATATATAAAGAACTCAAAAATCTTACCACCACAAAATAACTCAATCAATAAATGGGCTAAGGAACTGAACAGACACTTCTCAGAAGATGATATATAATCAAGCAACAAATACATAAAAAAAGTTCAACACCTCTAGCAATTAGAGAAATGCAAATCAAAAGATTTCATCTCACTCCAGTTAAAATGGCAGTTATTACGAATACAAACAATAAGTATTGGCAAGGATGTGGGGAGAAAGGCATTCATACATTGCTGGTAGAACTGCAAATTGGTGCAGTGAATATGGAAAGCAGTTTGGAGATTCCTTGGAAAACTGAGAATGGAACCACCATTGACCCAGCTATCCCACTCCTTGGTCTATACACAAGACTTAAAAAACAGCATACTACAGGGACACAGCCACATCAATGTTTATAGCAGCACAATTCACAATGGGTAAATTGAGGAACCAATCTAGATGCCCTTCGGTAGATAAATGGATAAATAAACTGTGGTATATATACACAATGGAATATTACTCAGCATTAAAAGACAATAAAATCATGGCATTTGCAGGTAAATGGATGGAGTTGGAGAATATTATGCTAAGTGAAGTAATGCCAGAGAACCAAATGCCAAATGTTTTCTCTGATATAAAGATGCTGATTCGGGCTGGGGATGTGGCTCAAGCAGTAGCATGCTCGCCTGGCATGCGTGGGGCACTGGGTTCAATCCTCAGCATCACATAAAAATAAAAAAATAAAGATGCTGTGTCCACTGAAAACTAAAAAAATAAATAAATATTAAAAAATTCTCTCTTGGGCTGTGGCTCAGTGGTACAGTGCTTACCTAGCATGCATGAGGCACTGGGTTCAATCCTCAGCACCACATAAATTTAAGACAGAGTGTCCACCTAAAACGTAAGAATATCTTAAAAAAAAAAAAATTCTCTCTCGCTCTCCCATGCTGATCCATAATGAGAATGTGGGAGGAGCACATTGAGGAATGGAGAAACTTTAAATAGGGCAAAAGGGAGGGATGCGAAGGGAGGGGTAGGGGCATAGGAAAAACGGTGAAATGAGATGAACATCATTACCACAAGTACATGTATGAAGACACGAATAGTGTACTCTACTTTGTGTACAATCAGAGACATGAAAAATTGTGCTCTATTTGTGTACTATGAATTGAAATGCATTCTGTTGTCATATATAACAAATTAGAATAAAAAGAAAAGACTAAAAGGGCTGGCTCATTAGTAAAGCACTCTAGATTCAATTTCTAATACCAAAACACACATGTAAAATAAACTGATTTAAAAAATTAACAATATTAGGGCTGGGATTGTGGCTTAGCAGTAGAGCGCTTGCCTAGTGCGGGCAGGATCTGGGTTTGATCCTCAGCACCACATAAAAAATAAAGGCATTGTGTTGTGTCCATTTACACCTAAAAAATAAGTATTTTTAAAAAAATTAACAATAATTTTTTTAAGAGTCCTAATAAGAAATTCAACCTATGTAAAGTTATTGCTTCAGGCTCTTGGCTAATGTAATTAAAAGTATTTGTAGAGGGCTGGGGTTGCGGCTCAGCAGTAGAGTGCTTACTTAGCATGAGTTCGATTTCTCAGCACCACATATAAATAAGTGAATAAAATAAAGGTCCACCAACAACTAAAAATCTATATATAATTAAAAAAAAAAAAGGTTTTGTAGAGTAAAAAGGTGGTCTTGGGGTAAATGCTATTTGAGGAAATCTTAGGGCTTATTTATTTCCATATTATTAGGAAAAAATCACATTCTACATTAAAATTCAAGAGCATTCCCATAATTTTACCATAAACATCTTTAGTCTGAAAAGCATAATAAAAATCCTGCTTACTAAAATATCTTTACTAAAATCATGTGATTTTATTCAAAAAGCAAATTTAACAGTTACATTCCTTTGAAGATATCTGTGTAACAATATTAGATTCTTCTAAGCTAATGTTTTAAATTTGAAAAGTCTAGACAATTATTTGTACATGTGCTGTTTGCCTACATTATTTAATAGTTTTAAGTGATCATACCTCTTCAATACCAGCTATATTATTCACAGCCAGTTTTTTTAGAGAACTCTGAAGCTTTTTGTCATCAGCTGTAGCTGTTCTATGTACCACCTTCTTCTTTCTGCGAGCTGTGCCCTGAAAAATAACCAGAGGTGTTAGCATGCTCAGCAGCTGGCAACTGCAATCACATCTTCCTATCTACTACAACAATCTAACTAAAACTTACTAAATAGTAATGACCAATAAGACTCCTCAGAGTAGTGATTGTCAATCTAACCCAGATTTTTTGAAGGTCAGTTCTAGCTGTTCTTATTCTTATCCAGTATCTAATTGTTCTTTCAACACTTTTAAAAATACTGTTTGCTAATAAGACATAATTCATAACTTCAAGACAACTTAATATACTTTATAACAACTTTCAAATATTATAAAGAATGCTTTCTTACAGTCCTTACCAGCTCCTACTAATAAAAGTCTAGAGAGGTCTGAAATCTTGAGAATTAAGGCATATTAAGAATTAAATGCCTATGATTTGAGTATTAGAGAATCTGAAAATCCAGGAATGAAAGATGAAGATTTTACCTAAAGTTTTTACATTACAATTAAAGGAAAAGTCAGTAAATACATAAAAAAAAAACTATTTCAAACATGATAAGGACTCTTATAAAATCACAAAACAAAAACATAGTAATTAAGAGTGACTGGGAGCAGAGCATGACCTTATCAGGCCCCTATGAAAAGGTGACATATGAATTGAGACCCACAACTAGGGAAGAGTGATCCAAGCAGAATGAAGAAAGGCTGAATTGTCTTTTCTAGACAAAAAGGCTAGAGCACATGGAAAAGAGAAGAAAAATGATATCAGAAAAGATAAGCAAGGGCCAGACTACATAGCCTAGAATTTCATGGGCAGGAACTGGATTTATTCTAATTGTAATAGGAAGTCACTGAACAGTTTTAACCATGGAGGTGGCTGGACTTGATGTGATTTGTTCACTTAGGACTAAGGTCGCTATTTGGAAAATGGTCTTTAAGGAGACCAGTCAGGAGGCTCCAGTAGCAGTCCTGGTGAGAGATGACATGTGTGGGAGTGGAGATAGTGAGTATCAGATTGTCAGAAGAGATGACATGACTTTTGATGGAATAGATGATGGATATGAAAAAAAGAGTAGTCTAGGATGATGCTTAGGATTTTGGCCTGAGCAAATAGGTTGAAAATCATACTTTTAACTGAGATACAAAAAGTTCATTTTCAATACAGAAAAGTTCAATCAATCAATACAGATACTTTGAAACTCAAAATACACTTTTCTACTGAAAAACTGTTATAAAAATGGGCCAATTAAAAAAAATAAACTGAAGCAAAGCGGAAACACGAACAAAATCAGCCTAAGTTTAGATAGTTAAGTCTTTCTGAAAGTAGGAGTAGGGATAGCTCCTTCTGTAGTCCTCAGGGAATCAGCTTTACAGAGAGGAGGTAGAACCTTCAGTCTCAGAAACTCCAGTGAGAGAAGGGACATTTGGCAGCAGATTGTGACAAAATCCAGTACTGAAATATCACTATTACAATGGTCTTTTTTTGGGGGGGGGGATTGTATTGAACCCAGAGGTGCTTTACCACTTAACTAAATCTCAGTCCTTTTATTTTTTTAAATTAAGACAGGACCTTGCGAAGTTACCAAGTGTAGTCTGCAACTTGCAATCCTTCTGCTTCAGCCTTCTGAGCAGCTGAGATTACAGGCATATGCCATTGTGGCTGGCTCACAGGTTACTTATTTGTGAAGGTTTCCTGACTCAGAGATCGTTCAGTTGCTTGCTGTACACCTCAATTCAAATGATCCTCAGGAACATCAAATGCAATGTCAAAAGGCTCATCAATCCACCTGTCTATTCTTCCTTTACTTCCTAAGTTTTATAGCTGCTGATATTTCCATACATCCAATTTCTAAAACCAGAAGTCTAGGTATCATCCCACTCTTCTTTCTGACCTTTATCTCCCATATCCCATCAATCATTAAATCATGTCAATTCCAACCCCTAAACCTATGACCCATATAGTTCAGCAATAACCTCTTGATTATTCTCTGTGCTAAACTATTTCATTCCCTTTTCCACACTGCCCAGCTACCTTTCTGAAATGGCTGTCATTTCCTTTCTGAAATCCTTCAATAGTTGCCTACTTCCTACAGGATAAAATTCCAACCTTCTTAGTAAGGCATATAAAACTACATTGGAACCCCAAACTATCAGGTCATTTTGTTTCCTACCATTTTCTATCCATCATGTACTTATGAATTTCAAAGCAAGTAATTCCTTTAAGCCCTATGTTATCTAAGCACTCTATGTGCCTTTGCACGTGTGGAAATAATAATCCTTTTTTATCTGTTCTCCCATGAACCTGGTCAGTCTGACAATAAATTCTTATTTATCCTGTATTTTATTATTATTTGATTTTTGGTACTGCAGATCAAACCCAGGGTTTCCCGCCTGCTAGGCAAAAGCTTTACAACTGAGCTAGACCTTTAACACTTTTTATTTTTATATTGAGACAGCATCTCACTGTGTCACCGAGGCTGGCGTCAAACTTGTGATCCTGCCTTGGACTCTTACTAGCTGGGAATCCATGTGTGGGCCACCACACCCAGCTGTTTATTATCCTTTGAATCCCGGCTTGCCTCCCCTAAGGAAGAGCACCTTGTTATTCATTTTAACACTTTCTATTCTTCATTGTAATTATGAGCATGACTCTCTTCCAATCTGAGATATGTTGAATAGGAGATTTTATTTATCTACCATGTGCCTGGCATATGGCAAATGTTCAATAAACAATAGAACAATGAATGATGGTACCAACAAATGGTTTAAACTACATGATGATGATGTGTGGCATCATGTCTTTCCAGATATATTCTATGATTCTTGAATCTAATTTTTTGCACTGGTATATTATATCACATTTGATGTTACAGTGTGACTACTGTGGTTACATGAGTGTATTAATATGACCCCAGAACCATATAACTATAGCATTATGAAATGAGAAGGTACTAGTCAAGTCTTTTCTTCCTCTTTCCTGTCACCAGAGCTGAAATTGTTGTTAAAGTAAATGACACAGTGAGGACTGACACAGTGCCCTACCTACTCCTTTCTCCTTTTCCCTTTTGCAAACACTGTATTGGATAGACAAAGGTAAACTATTCTCCTGGGGCCCAGGGCCACAGTTGAGGGGAAATCAAAGATTTAAGTACTTCTTTAGGTTTTAAAGTATATGAAAAAAAGAAAGCTCATGTTCATATTCACCAACATAGAAAAACAGGCAGGAATCTAGGAGGAAAACCTAGCAATAAACAAAATGTATAACCCATTCAAGAATTTCTAGTTAAATTTTTTTTCCTCCTGCAGAACTGGGGATTGAACCTGCTGGTATCCAACCACTGAATTACATCCCCAGACCTTTTAAATTTTTTTTTTTTTAATTTTGAGATGAAGTCTAGGTTGCCCAGGCTGACCTGAAACTTGTAATCCTCATGCCTCAGCATCCCCAGCAGCTGGGATTATAAACAGCTGTCATCACACCCAACTTGTAGTTAAATATCCTGTAAACCTAACTGCACCAGTGCGTACATTCAGTCAAGATGTAATGCTAATACCTGGCATGCCCTGAAGATAAACTGAACATTATAACAACAACTATGATCTACTAAGCATCTACCCTGTGACAGATACCATATAAGGTGTTTTATAAATATTTCTCTAATTTTTAGGAGCATCTTTTAGGATTATTTCTATTTTGCGGATGAAAAAAATGGAAGTCATAAGGTTGAAACTTGTTTATGTCATAACTAGCAGCTATTAAAAGTTAGGTTTCAAACAAAGGTGGCTATTTCATTGTATCATCAGAGAAGAGTCTTCTAGGTAGTTGTTTTAGATCTAGACAAATAATTCTCAAATTGGAATGTGGTTTGGTCTTGATTATGGAAAAGATTTTAGGTTTTCAATGACCACAAGTCCAAAATCATAATACTGTCTAGTAATCATACATTCTCCTATCAGTTTTTCTTATGCCACACTCACCTTGCCCCCTATCCGGACCTGAGCCTGAAGTTTGGCTAACTTTTCTTGATTCATGCTGTTGGTAAATCTAGGGGGGGAAAAATAGATTTGTTAAAGACACTGTTTTATGAAAATTAAAGAAAAAACTGTTTATACAAACAGTACCTTTTGGCTCACTGAGTTTGCAGTATGCATTAACACCACAACCATATTAATACTGTCTATATTCATAATAAATACCTTGTTCTAGCTTCATAAACCATGTATTGCTAAAAATCAAAATTAAAATAATACCACAGGGAGCCAAATATACAAACAGAAAAAAAGAATGGGATTCAAAGTCACCTATTTGAAGACTCCTTAAAAAGTGATTCAGTTCTTTGGCATTCAGTAAAATCTAGCCAATTACAAAATCTCTGTAGGCAAGCCAGTTTTCCCTCCCAAAGATTTTTAGAGTGGAGAACTGTTACCAAATGTTATCAGCAAAACCTTCAAGTAAATAATTTTCTCCCACATCAAATGTGTATTTCCTAAGTCCTTAGGACAAAAGGGGTAGGGAGAAGGCTAGACAAAGATGAAATTCAACAATAGGCCGTTCTAGCTGTCAAAATACGTAGTCATGTCCTCTATTCAAGGTCGGATGTTGTGTTAATAACGGGAAACAAACCAGATTTCAACATTTAGTACTTCTATAGCACTCCAGAATTCATTTAATACTTTGTGCTGATGTAGTTAGTATACCACACTTGTCAAAATATTCTTGCATATAGGGGAAAATTTTTCACTACACAATTTAACAAAAACATCTAGGTTACATGAATACTAAATTGGTGGGAAGGGCAACTCAAAGTTTTTTATAGCAATTTTTGTTTTGAAGATTCTAAAAGCATTATAAAATCATGAATTCTAGTTTCATCAATAATATTCCTACTAAGGAAAACAACATTCTTAAGTTTATGATGGATCTTAACACACAACAAACAAATAAAAGCAAATTTAAAAGTCTTGTTTGACGTGTTCTGTAGCTCAACAGATCATTACTGAGATGTGAGGAAGGGAAAAAAGAACTAGGCTGTTATTAAATCTTTTGGGGGAGATTCTCCAAACCCAGTATGATCTCGCTATTTAGATAAAAGATATTGTTTTCTTCCTTTGAGATGAAGAGATGAAAAGATTATGTAATTACTAGTTACTCTGTACTGACATTGAATTTAGGCACTAACCTCCCTGCATCTCTGCTTTAAGGCTAAATAAAGTCCAGTTCCCAAATAACAATTAGAATCTATTATTTCTTTGTTCAGCATTGTATCACAATGATCAAGCAGCTAAAAACACTCTTCTAGGAACAACTGTGTTTAGAGTCCAAAACAAGCAACCTTATGCATATGCCAATCTTAGCTCTGCCATAGACTTAAATTTGCTGAAGTAAATCCTAATCTTTATATTTAGATCTCCACAGGAATGGACCAATATTCACTTTTCTCAAAGTAATGTGGCTTTGAAGGTGTAGTGAACTAACAGAGCTTAAGGAATTTCTTGCAAAAACGGGGCTAAGTGAAAATATTAAAATCAAACACAGAATAAACCCTTTGGGACTTTTCTTCATTTTTAAGTAATAATCCTCAAGAGAAGAAATAGAGTTGGGAAGATAAGAAAGAGTCCTGACTTGTTTGAAACAAAGAACCACATTAACTCTTTAAATCAATGTGTAGATGAAAGAACAGATGCCATTCCAGGTGGTTAGGATAACAGAATTGCAAAATCTTATCCTCAAGGAGTATCTCAGAGAAAAAGCATTATAGGGAAGTTGGAAGCTCAAAGCAGAAGTGAAGGAACAAGTATGGTCTTTTGTCTTATTAGCAAATTGTGGTGTGTGGAATTCAAGAGGGAAAGGTGATTGGACTGTCTTTGAGAGAAGAGATGTCAAGCTCAGCATCTGGAGTAGACTTCAAAGATTACCTGATTTAATTCCCTTTTCTTTAATCCATCTTAATTCGTACCTGTCATTCCTGTCTTATTTATATGAGGACAGCAGCGGGGCATAAATTATAAGCAGTTCAGCGTTTTCCAATTTAATAGAAAAAGAAGGCCTTGAGGTAGCAGTTCCTTTCTGCAACCAAAGGGAGAAGTAACTTCCTTTGGTCACATGATAATGAGTTCTTCCTTGGGAGATCCAAGGATCTTTTAGCACTTTTCTTAGGAGTTCAAGATAGAGTACAAATGAGGTTAATCAATATTTAACCTAAATTACCTAAGTTCCAAGCATTGTGGTAGGCATTTTCACATACATCATGTTTACACAGGGATAAAAATAATTTCAACCTTTAGTCTCAACTTTTTATTATGAGATTTCTTTAAGAGAAGCACAGGATGTAGAATCAAAGACACTGGGTCTACTCTACTTAATACTTAAGGCTTCAAAAAAGTATTTTACTTTTTTGAACTTTTGTTCCTCCTGCATCAGGAAAGGTATAACACATACTTCACAGGGTTGTTTTGAGGGTTAAAGGTAGATTATCAAGCACAAGATATGGCTCACAGAAATATACTCAATAATTGGTAACTATTGTTACCATTCCCGAGGGGATAGCTAAGGTATAAGTGAAATAACCTGGGAAGGGAAATTGAAACCGCCATTCACTAGCTGTATACCACTGTGCCTGCCGGTCAATCATCAAGCAATGATGGGGTTATAAGGATGGGCTAGGCAATGTCCCAAAAGGGAGGCAGACTTGTAAACAAATTCTGCCATTATAAGGTGACGAGCCCTGCAACAGGGTCCGGCTCCCCGGGCAGGGGGCGGGGTGCTAACCTCGGTTTCCCTATCTGTAGACTGGAAGCATCAACTGAGATGACAACAGATAAGCTGTATAAGCTCAAAACATGACATTGTTGTTGTGAATAACGAAGAGTAATGGAACAGAGGAGAAGGGGTCCACCCGCCTCCTGGGACTGGATTTGGGCGGCAAAAGCACCGTCCCGCTCTCACAGGGGGCGTTGGTGCTGGGGACCTTCCCTCAGGTGCCGACCCCCAGCTGCGCCGCCGGTAACCGACAGGCCAAGCCAGCCGCCTCCGCCCCCACTCGCCGCGCCACGGCGGAAGTGGCAGCCCGAGCGGTTGGAGGGTGTCGGAAGAAGAGGGCGGGGGGAGACCGTGCGCAGCGGCCTATGGCCGTGGAGTGGCGGGACCGCCGGGGGTCTCACCTGAAGCAGGGAGGGTCCTCCAACACCAGCACGCGGCAAGAGCAAGATGGCTGCCTCAGCCGAGACAGAGAAAGACGGCGGCGGCGGGAGCGAGGCCCACGTGACACAGTCAGCCCCGCCTCTCCTTCCCCGGCGGCCTATCCCAGGAGCGCGCATCTCAACTACAAAACCCAGCCTGCTTTGCGCACCCCAAAATTTCTATTGGCGGTAGGTGCCGGGTGCCGCGCTGCATCCTGGAGCTTACAGTCTCCCAGGCGTTCCATTGTGTTGGTACTTAGTTTGTGGAGAACCTAATAAAAGGGCGAAATGATTTTGTTTCTGTAGTTTTGTTCTGATGCTTTTCACTATGCATTAAGTATGCACTGTTGGACTCAAACTAATAGAAGAAAGATGGGAGATTTTGGCCTGTTATGCAGTAGAGGCCGAAAATTAAAGAGAAATATTTAATCCACAACAAAAAATAGATTTAATCTGAAAAAGCTTTACATTTTAAATGCCTACAGTGACATGACCTGGTTCCTTTGGAACATTTAGTTTTGCAATAGGAAGCCTCAACTCTAGTTTTCTTGGAGCTTGTATTGGTTGGTTGCATCCTTAGCGTGAAAGTGAAGTGCATGCCTGCAAGGCAAGAGACAGTTGAATGCAGAATGGGTTTATCAGGTCTCTTCAGAGACCTGAGCAGGAAATTAATGAAATCCGGTTGTCCGATTTTTCTTACTTGCAGTGGGGGAAGGGAAATTCGAGGCCAATAGGCGACTCACCCACTGTTGGGAGATGTTGACCTCACGAATCAATAATTTGCGTTTTGAATATTAAGTACAGCGGATCTGGG